GGTATCTCTACCAATGCCCTTCTGTGCTTCGCTCATGTATTGATCCATGTGTCCACTTATCTTAGCCACAATGATGCCTGACATGAGCTTCCATATTGTGGAGGGACAGGTTATTGGCCGATAGTTGGATGGGACTGGAGCCTTTGAGGGATCCTTCATGATCAGGTTCGTTCGCCCTTCGGTTAGCCATCCTGGGTGAGTCCCATCCCTAAGCAAATGTGCTGCTAGGCGCTCATGGATTGCTGTGAGTTTCTTTACCCAGTAGGTGTGGACCATGTCTGGGCCTGGTGCTGTCCAATTTTTCATGTATGAGACTCTTTCCTGTATGTCTGACACTGTTATGATAACTGGATTCTGTTCAGGGAGGTTGCTGTGCTCCTCTGTTATGTGCTGTGCTCCTCTGTTATGTGCAACCTCCTTCTCCCATATGCCTTTCCAGTACCTTTCAGTTTCCATATCTATATATATATAGATATATATATATATATGTTAGTGCTGTCAAACGATTAAAATATTTAATCATGATTAAAAATGCAACTGTCATAATTAACTCACAATTAGCTCCTAATTAATAGTGATTACTCACATTTTTTATCGTTTCTAAATTTCCTTTCATTTTTTTTGTCCTATTTTTTCCCGTTTTAATGCTCTCATCAACATGGAATCATAGATCAGTTTTCTGTGTGGAAAATGCAAATATTTATTGAAACAACAATTTCGATTTTCAATTTTACATGAACATTTTTCGCTTGGAGCAGTTATTCACACATAATCTCTCACACAATATTACTGTCCATCAACAACAGTGAAAAAAATATTTTGTCACACAACAGCTTTAACAGGTCTTTTTAGGGAATCAAAACAGAGCAATAAAAAATTATAAAGTGCACAGGTAAGGTAAACTAGTACTCAGCCTATAGTGGATTTAAGCCATGGTTGCATACTTGGTTTTTCTCAAGTTTGCTTTGAACACAGCAGTCAGGCTATGTTGATTCTGTTAGTCCTTCTTGCGCGGAAGTCTCTCTATGGTATTGTGTCGACATCATTTCGGATGACTACACTTGGTTCAAGGCACAACACTGGAGACATTTTATTTTCAATATGGTCGCTACCACTGCACCGCTGAATTCTCGACGTGCCTCAGCGCCCGTCACTGTCAGACGAACACAGAGAAGCTTCACCCCCTTTATTTATATGGACACGGAAAACGGTAACCTTCCACACAAAATAGTTCCAAACAAGTAACAATCGTGTCAGTGGCATACATCGTACTCAACAGGCTACCTGCTCTTTATTCACCAGAGGCTCATCAACCGAGTCTCTTATTTCTCTCCCGAAACAGTGTCTTCTCCCGCTACGTCCAATTTCTGTACATAGCTTGTGATGGAGGCGCTCACTGGCAATCCGTAGTGGAGTCGTTTGATGCAATACGAATTATTTCAGCTTGAGTCTAGCTGTGGATAATGTTGACAGGCTTGCATGAAGTAGCCATACATTTAGCTATGGCTTCAGCAAATTATCCGTAGCTGTCTGTCTTAGACGAGGGGGCGGGGTACTCACATCAGCTGTGTGCTTGGCCATTCAGTGGTATTTCAGACTTGACTTGCTATGATGACACATCAGCTGACGACTTCAAAACATACAGGTAACTTTGGTCTTGTCAGTGGAACCATCTGGCAACTTTTTAAAAGTAAACTTTCCATTCATAAACTGTTTAAGTATCCGTTTTCGGTGTCTCGCGCTGCCATGGCTGGCAAAACAGACATGGGTGTGGACCTTTGCAGCGCGCTTGTTGTTTTGTTTCCGGTTTATTTATAGAGCAACGGAACATCCGCAATGATGTGTTGCCGCTTTAATCTCGCGATAAAAAATGTAATCACGTTAAAATTTATTTAAATTAATGTCGAAACAAACGCGCTAAACTGACCCCACTAATATATATACAGAGAGAGAGAGAGAGAGAGAGAGAGAGAGAAAATAGAACCACAAATGACCATTAAAACAGGGTAATATTTTGTGTATCGTTGAACTATTGTAGGCGCAGTGAAGTTTTGAGTCGACACATTCATGAGGAGCCCAGACTTCCCTCTCCCTTCCCATTTTGTTCATCTCCTCATGGGTGATCCCGAGGCATTCCAAAGTGAGCTGGGAGAGTCGTCTCTCGAGCCTGTCCTTGGCCTCCTCTCAGTGAGGCATGCCCGGAACACTTCTCCAGGGAGGCATCTGGGTCGCATCCTCACAAGATGCCCACACCAATTTCATCTCGCTCCTCTTAATATGAAGGAGCAGCGGCTCAACTTTGAGAAGCTCCTCACCTCATTTCTAAGGGAGAGCCCAAACACCCTGCGGAAGAAATTCATGCAGCCGCTTCTATCTGGGTCATATTCTTTTGGTCACGATCCACAGCTCGTGACCATGGGTGAAGGTAGCAACGTAGATTGACCAGTAAATCGGGAATTTTGCCTTTCGGCTCAGCTCCTTCTTTACCACAACAGACTGATACAAAGTCTGCATCACTGCAGACACTACAGCAATCTGCCTGTAGATCTTCCGCTCAATCCGTCTCCCACTCATGAAAAAGCTCGAAGATACTTGAACTCCTCCACTTGAGTCAGGGTCTCATCTACGACCTGGAGAAGGCACTCCACCTTTTTCTGACTGAGTAGCATGGTCTCAGAATTGGAGGTGCTGATTCTCATCACAACCACTTTACACTCAGCTGTGAACCGCTCCAGCGAGAGTTGACTATGGCAGATTGATGAGGCCAACAGAACCACATCATCTGCAAAACCAAGAGGTGTCA